GTGATCGGTCACCATCCAACAGCACAGCACAGGCTTCTTTACACATGGCCTCAGGATTCCAAAGAGCAGCAAGAGAGGGTGAATCTCAACGTGCAAGCATGTCGCCAGTCTCTGCTTGTCTCACATGTGTTAATGTCTCATTAGCAAAAGAAAGTCAAATGGCCAAAACGAGATTCAATGGTGGGAGAAGTAGACTTCTCCTCTTGATAGGACCAGTCACAGTGAAAGAGGGTACATACTTGATAGTAGTGGCCAAAGTTGACTGTGAAGATGTAGACATATGTAAAGAGGGTTGCTCCCATCATTACTACAAGGAAAAGCTGGATAATTTACAAAACTGTAACTTTTTCTGAACCCATCAAAGACCTGAGATCGCCTGAAATATAAGAAAGTAGAGGTGCCTTCAAAAGGATGGGAAGTTATCATTGGGTCACTTGTGGCAGAGCAAAAAGGAAGATGGGGTCACAATACAAGCAATAAAAAATCAGCAAGAATTTTTAATGAATTGCTAAAGGCTGAGTGTGGGACAGTATGAGAATACATAAGGGAATTTGACACCCACTTGCAGGCTCGTTTCCACAGAGCTCCACTAGATGCTTACAAGAAACATTGGGGACAGGGTAGGAGACTAGAGAAAGTCTCCGTCAGTGGTGTAGGCCTGCAAGGGATAACTGCTGATACATAATAGCCCCATATGGGTCCACATTCCCCTAGCGAACAAAAGCCTTAAGTCACTGGGGAGAAGTACAGCAGAAGCTGTTGCTCCCAGGCTACCCACTGCCACTGAGTTGACTGACACATAGCGACGCTATAGGACAGAGTACAACTGCTCCATAGGGGTTCCAAGGCTGTCACACATTCCCCCAGTGGGTTTTAACCTCCAACCTTTCCGTTAGCAGTCTAATGCTTAACCCACTGCGCCACCAGATTCCCTTCCATTTCTTTTCCCTTCCTCTAGGCACAATGGTATGATGCTGTAGGGCAAGCACTGGACTGCTAACCACAAGGTAGGCAGTTAAAACTCACCAGCCACTCCTCAGAAACCCTATACAGACTCATTATAAGTTGGAATTGACTCGACACAACAACAATAACCTATGAAGAAAGCACAGGAAGCCATCCTGGGTCCAGAGCATTAGAGGTCTTCTAGCAGTGGAAAAAGGAACTCTGGTAGCGTAGTGGTTACGAATCGGGCTGCGAACCTTAAGGTCAGCAGTTCCAAACTACCAGCTGCTCCGCGGGAGAAAGATGAGGCTTTCTACTCCCGTAAGGATTTACACCCTCGGAAATCCTGTACAGGGTTGCTATGGGTCGGAACCGACTCGAAGGCACTTAACTTAACAACAAGCAGTGGAAAAAGAGCAAATCACTGAAAAGACCCTCTCAAGATCCAGGCCCTGTCTAAAATGGAGGCTAGCCCAGGACAACAGAGAGCAATCCTACCTCCCATCCCTACCCCCCCACACACCAGGCCAGTAAAAACTGAGTAATAACAGCAGTCCATTACTGAGGAAGACAGACTCTGAGAAGCAAGCACACAGGAAAGGTCTAAAGAAGGAACATTCAAAAAAAAATTTCTCTGTCAAACAAATGCGTACCCTAAGCACAAGATCAACACTAAAGGAATTTGAAGTCTATGGTATACTGAAGGTAACCAAGCACTAACAAAACCCAAACCCTGTTCAACTCCTGACTAGATGGACACAAACCCCTCGCACTAGCACCTTATCAGATGAAGTTGTTGTTGTTGTTGTGTGCTGTTGAATCACTTCCAACTTACAGTTCCAACTCACAATGTGAGCAGCTGGTCAGTTTGAACTGGCTGACTGTGTGCTTACCAGAAGAGAAGCCCTGTTTATTTTCAAGCATAAATACTATTTACCTCAGTTTATATTGTCCTACATACAACATCTAACATTCAGCTAAAAATTATTAGACACAAAGCAGCGAGAGAAAACCCACTGTCAAGACATAAAGCAATCAACTGATCCACACTTAGCTGGTCTGGTTGTTGGAAATATTAGCAAATTTAAAATGACTTTAATATGTTAAAAGTTATAGAAAAAATGTAAGCAATTGGAATGAACAGCTGGTGATTACAGCAGAGATGAAAACTATGGAGTCCAATGGGAATGCCAGAAATCACAAAAACACAGAGATGAAGAAGGCCATCAACAGTTTCATCAGTAGAGGTAGGGGTAGGAAATCAATGAATCTGAAGATAGGTCAATAGAAATTGTCCTAACTGAAACACAATGAGAAAACAAAACAAAACAATGAAAAAGGACGTGCATATAGGAATGAAAGAAATCTATAGCATTTTTTTCTATCTATCACAGTCTGTCCTCTGGTTAAAAAACAACAACACATTATTCCCTCATGCAAAATATGTTTGCCCTTATTTGGAACCTCCAAATGTTTCACCCCAATTATGGCATCAGGCTCAAATCCAGAATCTCAAGTCTTTTGCATCAGGTCTAGATGTGGCTGAAGCTCGTGGGTGGTTTCCCAGTTTCTTCATTCAGAGATCTGTGAACTAAATGAAGTTAGCTGACCCCTGCAAACACAATTATACACATACACACATACATACGTACATACAATTTAACTGCAATAGATACTTCCATTCAAAAGGAGGAGGGACAAGAGGCACATAACAATCACTGGTCCATAACTATCTGAAATACAAGAGTAAATGTTGTAGGTCCCACCTACTCCAAGGGCAGAAAATGTTTACTGATTATGGCACAGTTCTCTCTGGGCGTGGCTCCCCAGTCCATTCTACTATACTGTTCTTGGGTCTTCTGTTTGAGATACCCTTGTATTTTCATAAGAAATGGTCCATGGTTGCAGCTGAGCATCTTTCTCAGCTTGCTTCCTCTTCATAGAGGTTAGGGAGGGAAGTCTAGAAGCCAGTTTTTATTTGAACTAGTTTAGTTTTTTTAAGTTCAACCTGGAGGTAATTTCACTAATAAAATTCTCTTTAAAAATGTTATAGGTTTCCTATGAATCTGGTCTGGAGCTACTCCATGTCCTAAATGCCACATCAACAATGCTTTCTAAGACAGGACTCTCTTTGTAAAGTGCTGTGGCTCAATGCTGTCAAACTTTTTAGAAGCCTTTGTTTAGCTGAGAGGGTCTTCCAAGCTTCAACTTAAATATTTTACATGTTTTGACAAAGGGCCTTATAATCACATCTATAATTTAATCTTTACTCTGAAGCCATTTTTTACCTTGAGAGTATTTTGATGACTGAACAGGCTAGAAACTTTCCAACTCAGAAAGTCCTGGCTTTTTTATATTTCTTCTGAATACTGCTTGCAAATGGAACAGTTATTTTTCTAGTTTTTTTAAGTTCATCTTGTTTTTTCCCTTTATATGCCACTAAGAGAAGTAAACTGATACTTCCAACATTATGCTGGAAATTTCCTTAGCCAGCTCCACAAGTTCACATTTTTCATCTTCCCAAAGAGCATGGTAACTATTTTGTCACTGTTTTCCTTATTAAACAGCATGTGTTGGCATCTTTTCCAGCCTTTGTTCAATTTTTCTTTTCACTCTTTTCCCAGCTTCCATATGCCCTCCATGCCCAAAGTCCATGTTTGGTATGATACATCCTCCCCACTTTTTAGGTGCTATTTAGCATGTGTTGTGTACCAAACTAACCTAAAACTTCATAGTTTAAAACAACAATCATTTTTTAGCTCACAATTCTGCAGGGTGGCTAGGGTAACTGGTCTGGTTCTTTTTGCCTGGGCCAGTTTGGCTGGTGCTAGAGGTCTAGGAAAATCTCATTCACCTTTGTGAGCAGTTGGCATGTAGCTGGTCTAGGAGGCTAGACTAGCTTGTTTCTGCGACCTATGGAATCTCATGCCCCAGGAGGGTAATTTGAGCTTCCTTAATGGGAGGTCTCAGAAATCCAAAGAGCAGTTTTTTTGTTGTTAAGTGCCCAAGAGTAAATTTTGACTCATAGCAACCCTGTATAGGATTTTTCAAGGAGCAGCTGGTGAGTTTGAACCACTGACATTACGGTTTAAATCATCGTTGCGGTCCAGTACATTATCCTACTTCACCACACCAGAACTCCCCAAAGAGCACTAAGAGAAGGTAAAAGCCTCAAGACAGGCTTTTCATGCTTCTTCTTGAATCTCTCTGCTAATGTCCCATTGTCCAATACAAGTCACATGGCCAAGCTCAGTGCTAAAGAGTAGAGAAAGACTCTACCCCTTAATAAGAGAACCAGCAAAGTAACACTGCAAAGGGACATGCATAAAAGGATGGGAGGAATCTGTGGCTATTTTGCCTTCTACCATAAAGAAAGACGATAAATATACTATGCCATGGAAACTAGCATGTATAATAGGATTACATTATAGATTTATGTAAAATTATATTGGTAGATGTCTGTATGCCTAAAGACATAATGGCTTTTACACTGTGGATTCACTGTATAGAAATATTCAATAGGCAATATACTTTATAGACAAAATTATGCTAAACTAATAAAAAGAATTTCATTGCAATTATCTTCCTGTTATACAATGTGCTCTGTCGCAAATATCCTATATAGAAGTGAGACTATATATCATATATATTAATTTTCTGTCTTAACTTTCAATTTGCAGTTAAATTGCTTAATATACCACAGTAAGTATGGCTGTCATACACATAATTTCATTTCATCCTTCCTATAAAGAATTTGATAACAATTTACCTTATAATACTTTCTGTAAAACGGTTTCTTCTAATGCATCAAACTGACATTTTTTTCCAATGCAAAATTTCTATTTTATTATGTCAGGCTGTGCAAATATGGAAACCCCCACCCCATCCCCCATTTAATGCACTCTCTTAAGAGTGTTCTCCTCTGAATAATTCTTTTCATCTCAGGTGAGATCACCAGATAAATGTTTTTCCTTATCTGTCTTAGATGAATCCTGCAATATACACTTAGATTTGACTACTGTAATAAGGCTAACTCTCGAGAAACAGGGTTACTTTCATGCATGAATATTTCGATGCATGCTAAGAACTGATTTCTGTGTGAAACCCTTTCCACAGTCACTACATTTATAGGGTTTATCTCCAGTATGAATTGTCTGGTGTTTATTGAAATTTGACCTGTCAGTGAAGGCTTTCCCACATTCTGCACATATGTATGGTTTCTCTCCTGTGTGAATTCGCTGATGTACTTTGAGATGTGGTTTCTTGGAGAATGATTTCTCACAGTCAGGACATTTAAAAGGCTTCTCTGTAGTATGAATTCTTTGATGCGTAATTAACTCTGACTTCTGGATGAAGGCCCTCCCACAATCTGTACAAACATAGGGTTTCTCTCCAGTATGAATTGTTTGATGTTTATTGAAATTTGATCTGTCAGTGAAGGCCTTCCCACATTCAGCACAGATATATGACTTCTCTCCAGTATGGGATTTCTGGTGAGTATTGAGATTTGACCTGTTGGTAAAGGCCTTCCCACATTCAGTACATATATAGGGTTTCTCTCCTGTATGGATTCGCTTATGCATCTGGAGTTGGGATTTGGAAGGAAAAGATTTTCCACAGTCACTGCATTCATAAGGCTTCTCTCCAGTATGAATTCTCTGATGTGCAATCAAGTGTGCTTTCTGGATGAAGGCCTGCCCACATGCAGTACATATATAGGATCGCTCTCCTGTATGAATTCTCTGATGCATTCGGAGTGTTGATTTTTGGGTAAAGGCTTTCCCACACTCACTACATTTGTGGTGTCTCTCTCCAGTATGGATTTTTTGATGTATATTGAGGGCTGAGTTCAGGGAAAAGCCTTTCCCACATTCACTGCATTCGTACAGTTTTTCCCCAGTATGAGTTGTCTGATGCCTAAATAGAGATGACATTTGGAAAAATGATTTTCCACATTCACTGCATTTATAGGGTTTCTCTCTAGTATGAGTTTTCTCATGCATAATTAATTCAGAATTCTGGACGAAGGCCTTCCCACATTCAGCACATATATGTAGTTTTTCATCTCTTTGAACTCTCAGATATATACTGAGCAGCTGCTTCTGTGTAAAAACATTCACACATTTGCTAAGTTCATGAGGTTTTTCCACAGTATGAATTCCCTGAGGTGAAAACAGGTGTGACTTCTGGGCAAAGATTTTCCCAAATTCAGTACATGTATTTGCTTTCTCCCCAATAGGAAATTTCAGATTTTTACTGAGTGCTCGTTTGAGGCTGAGGAGTTTCCCACACTGATTACTTCTACATAATTTCACTCCTGTATGAGTATTTTCATGGCTAGTATAAGAAGTGCTCTGGGTGAAAACTTGATTCTGTCCAATAATTTTATCAAAGTTCTTTGGTGCACTGTTTTTACTATGAATATGTACATCTAAATTATGCTTAAAACCCTTTCCAACTGAGCCACCTTTATGAGGTCTTTTCTGTGAAGGAATAAGGTTTGGACTTGGATGAACAAATTTTCCAATACCTTTATTTTCATAATACCACTCTGTAGTCAATATTTTCTTGCTCATAAAAGTAGCATGACTCAGAGGCTTGTTTTGTTTTTCCTGGTATTTCTCTGCATGTTCACCATCTTGCCACAGTTCTTCTAAAATGGAATATAATGAATCATCTCTTGTATCTTCACCCTCCATTTCAGTATGAAATGTAGCTTTTTCAGTAATTCTGTACTGTGATGTCTCAATCCCAAATTTGCCATCTAAAAGAGAAATAAAAAATTGAAACTGAAACAAAACTTAGATAAAAGACTAAGAAAGTATATATAATCCAGATTGAACACAGGGAAAGCAGTAAGTCTATCATTATTATCAATTTTTTGCAAACACGGAAAGTGAAGCTCACAATGGTTATATTGGGGGGTGGGCTTCGAAAAGTTCATGAAAAAATGGGATAAAAAACATAATGGAATTTTTCTATGAACTTTTTGAAGTTCCATCATATCACTTATCCTAAAACATGATTACTAGGTGTTGTATACTAGAATTCAACATAAGTAGTCTAGTTCTACTTTGGTAAGAATCCTATCTAGTTAGGATGGGCAGAAGATTTTTAAAAACAAGGGTCTTAAGGGTGGGGGGTGGGATAAATATTGAGAACCTAGGGTTAGAGAAAATGGCTCAGAATCTAAATCCTCATTAGCTTTCAATTCTAAATACTCACTAATCTTGCTACTTCTTTTTGCTTGTTAACAATACCAGGTTAATGCGACTCCATGGCACATAACCACCACCAACCACCACCAAACCCATTTTACTGGAGTCCTGGCGTGGTGCTGTATGATAAACACTAGACCTCAAAGTGGTGGTTCAAACCCACCAGTGACTCCTTGGAAACCCTATACAGAGTCACTATGAATTGGAACTGACTCAATGGCACTTAACCACCATAAACCCATTTTATTAGAAAAATATTACAGTCATAGCCATCCTGACTTATACAAATAATACATGGATGTCTATATGCCAAATCTCCATCCAGATGTAACTGCTTTCTTGGACTTAGAATTACATCTATCCAATGTTGTTGTTGTTGTTAAGTGCTGTCAAATTGCTTCTGTGTCACAGTGACCCGCTATAGGGTTTCCAAGGCTTTAAACCTTTGCAGGAGTAGAAAGCCTCATCTTTCTCTGGTGGAGTGGCTTGAAGTGTTGACCATGTGGTTCACGGTCCAGGCTTATTCTATGGAGCTACTGCACTCCCACATACATCCAATAAAGAAATATAAAATAGGAGAGAGGACAATCCATCTGAGGTGGACAATGCAAACTGTTCATTCGAATGGAGAATATGTTTACTCATTCTTTCACATGAATAGACTTGTAACCAGGTAGGACAGCCTAATCATATAACATTTTCTAGCCCCCTTTCTAAAGTGGTGTGGCCATATGATAATGTTCTCAATAGAATGTGAGAGAAAATGAAATATCTTAGATAATATAATTTATTAGTGGAAATTAAGATGAACTAGAAACAAGAATGGAGTCTGCAAATCCCATCAGGAAAAGAATGACTCAAGCATAAGAAAATATAGACCTGTTTTGGGTGACGCCACTAGAAAATAAGATGAGAGAATATCTAAATACTCTTTTTAAAAGAAAGAATAGTAATTACAGAGTAATTAGTAAGACAAGATAACTAAGAGAGAAGAAGAAATACAGCAGAATCTGACAAAATTTAGAATGTGAGTAGGATTCCTGATTTGAGCAACGATGATGTCAAGACCTCATCTACTGAAAATGAAGAAAGTAGAAACTGTATTGCTATTCTTGTGAAGTGTCGTTGGGTCTGTTCCAACTCAAAGCAATCCCGTGTACAGTTTCCGAGGAGCAGCTAGTGAGCTTGAACTGCTGCTGGCCTTGCAATTCAAACTGACCCTGTGGTTTAGTGCTTATCCCACAGTGCCACACTAGGATTCCAGAAACTATATAGTAACTGCCTAATATGCAGGTAAATATGGTGCTAGAGCACAGTTATAACATAGCATCTAGTAGTGTATATATGGAAGCTATCAAAATACAAATAAAAAACTGAAATATTCTGAATGGATGACTCCTTAAAGTTAATTACTATTAGAAATCAAAACTAAGAGACAGTAAAGAGCATCATAACCAAAGACATCTTCGAAAAGCCTCTATGGAAAAGGAAATGAGAAAATTAGGTGGAAATCAAGAAGAAAGGAGGAAGAGATAAAATAATAGAAATGGTTAGAAAGAGATAAAATAATAGGAATAAGCAATTCACAGAAGGTGAGACCTAAATGGGTAACAGATATTATGAACGTAAATTACACAGTGCAATTTTTATTTTACATCAATTAGGTTGGCCACAAAATAAGAAATGTGAATAATGCCAAGTGTTAACACAGTTATGGTGAAATAGACACATTTTTGCATATTGCATGGACACCCTGATGATTAAGTAATATCATTTCTATATCCACCATTCGTCTGCCAGTTTGTCATACTATGGTGGCTTGTGTGGTGCTATGATGCTGGAAGCTATTACATCAGCATTTTAAATACCAGCAGGTCACCCAGGTAGATAGGTTTTAGCGTTGCTTCCAGACTAAGACAGACTAGGAAGAAGGAGAGGTGGATCACTTCTGAATGGTTAGCTACTGGAAACCTTATAAATAGCAGTATAACATTGTGAGGTATAATGCCAGAAGATAAGCCCCTGAGGCTGGAAGACATTCAAAATACGACAACTGAAGAGCTGCCTCCTCAAAGTAGAGTTGACCTTAATGATGCTTTTGGGACCTTCATTTGCAGATGTGACACAATTCAAAATGAGAAGAAACTACTGCAAACATCCATCAATAATCAGAATGTGGAATGCACTAAGTACGAATCAACACATATAGATCAATATCCTCAGTATTAATGAGCTGCAATGAACTGGAATTGGATATTTTGACTGCAAAAGTTGGAAACAAAGAGGAAGAAATGTACATGGAAAATATGGCCTTCATGATAGAAATTATGCTGGAGATCACATGATAGAGCTTGGCAAGATCAATGATTTATTCATTGCAAATATCTGTTTTTAACAACATAAAAAGGGACTATACACCTGGACGGAACACAGTCACTCTGTAGGATAAGCACTGGACTGTGAAGCTTTCTGCCCCTGCAAAGACTTACAGCCTTGGAAACCCTAACATCAGTCGGAAGCAACTTGACAGCACTTAACAACCATGACATTTAACATTCACTTGGACCTCATCAGATGGAATACACAGGAATCAAATTGACAACATCTGTGGGAAGAGACGATGGAAAAAGCTCAGTATCATCAGAGAAAATATGGCCAGGGGCAGACTGTGGAACAGACTATATCAGTTGTTCATATGCACGTTGAGGCTGAAGTTGAAGAAAATTTAAACAACTCCACAAGAGCCAAAATTTGATCTTGAGTATGGTGTAGTTGTTAAGTTCCTTCGAGTAGGTTCCAATTCATGGCAACCCAGTACAGGGTTTATGAGAAGCGGCTGGTGGGTATGAATCACCAACCATGCGGTTAGCAGTCCAGTGCTTATTTTACAGCGCATGTTGAAGTTTATTTACGCTAACAGAGCAAAGAAATATATATGTATACTAATCTAGGAGCCTGATGTGGTGCTGTGGGTTAATGCTCTGGATTGCACAAGGTCAGCAGTTCAAGCTCCCCAGTCACTCCTCGGAAACCCTATACAGTGTCGCTATTGGTCAGAACAGACTTGACAGCACCTAACAAAAACAACAATAACATATCTATATTAAGTTAAACTTCTTTACTGTGATAAAAATATACATAACAAAAAGCTTGCCAATTCAACAATTTTTACACAGTAGTATTGATTATATTCATTATAACACTTTATCATTATCTTGTTCCAAATTATACCACCACCATTAACAGAACTCAGTTTCCAATCAAGCAATATTAGCCATGCTTCCCCCCTCCCCGCCACCCATGCTATTGTTGTTGTTAGGTGCAATTGAGTCAGTTCCAACCCATAGCAACCCTATGCACAACAGAATGAAACACTGCCTGGTACTGTGCCATCCTCACAATTTTGTTACATTTGAGTCCATTGCTGCTGCCACTGTGTCAATTCATCTCTTTTGGGGTTTTCCTTTTTTTTTTTTTTTTTTTTTGCCTCTTTTTACCAAGTATGATGTCTTTCTTCAGGGACTGGTCCCTCATATTAACATGCCCAAAGTATAAGAGACAGTCTCACCATCCTGCCTTCTAAGGAGCATTCTGGTTGCACTTCTTCAAACACAGATTTGTTTGTTATTCTAGCATTCATGGTAACACTAATAACCTTTGGTTTCTGTGTGAAAGTCTAAAATCAGAGGCACTTGGTGTGTGTGGATAGAGAAGCCTGGAAGCAAAGTCTTAATTTTAACTTATATCTTGATATGAGTTGGAATCCATTATTGAATTTTAAAACTGCCTTTTCTGACAGTAACTTCTCTAACCTTTGTGTTGACCTAAACCCTACACGTTGAAGGAAACATTCTTCTCTGTGATCCGGCAGATACAGGATGTCACAAGCTCCTTTCAGGGGTTTTTCCTCTATGCTCAGCAGATGCAGGATGTGATAGCCTATGGCCAAAGGGACCTGACACACAGAATTGTTGATAAATCTTCTAGACAATGGACCCCAAGAACAAGCATGCTTAAGAAAACAAATTTAACAACTGGTTTCCAGAAAAACCTGTCCTGTCATTGTCCTCTGACCACCCTGTAATTAACTGAAACGTGCACACACACTTGCAATTATGTACCTTTAACCAATCATGTAATCCCAGATATTTGTTATCCACCCCAAACCAAAACAAATCCACTGCCATCGAGTCAATTTGACTCACAGCGACCCTATATAGGTTTTCCAAGACTGTAAATCATTATGGGAGCAGCCAGCCTCATCTTTCTTCCAAGGAGCAGCTGGTGGGTTTGAACCACTAACCTTGCAGTTAGCAGCCCAATGTCCTCACTAAGATATCCCACCTTCAACTCCCTGGACTGTCTTTCGTTCTTGATTTGATTGTAGAAGTATGTTGGCTTCTTTCTTGTCTGACAGGGAGGCTTTTTTCATTATGTGGTTTTGATTTACATCTCCATTAAGGATCTCCTTAATCCACCTCACTCCCACTAGAATGGATATGATTTTAACAAAGGAACACAGATGTTGGTAAGTTGGTGGGGTCCTGGTGTGGCACTCTGGGTTAATGCGCTGCACTGCAAGGTCAGTTTGAACCACAAGGTTGGCGGTTCCAGTCACGCCTTGGAAAACCTACATAGGGTCTCTATGAAGTCAGAACCGACTAGACAGCACTTAACAACAATGGAAACTTAGTGATAAAGAGGAAGACCCCAAATGAGAAGGATTGACACAGCGGCAGCAACAATGGGCTCAAACATATTAACAATTGTGACGATGGTGAAGAACTAGGCAGGGTTTTGTTCTGTTGTGTATAGGATTGTTATGAGTCAGAACCAACTCAATAGTACCTAACAACAACAATGGCTAATGGTCTTTTCATGTGCTTATTGGTCATCTGTAGATCTTCTTTGATGAAATGTCTATTGAAGTCCTTTGCCTAGTCTCTGATTAGGTTTTTTTTTGTTGTTGTTGTTAAGTTGATTATTTTTTAGATAAGGGACAAGGAGACTCAATGTGAAAAAGAAAGTCTCTTCTGCAATAATTCTGGAACTGAATATCCATACTGAAAAAATGGATATTAAATCTTTATGTCACACCACACATAAAAAACACCAGAAAAATGGATCAAAGGTCAAAATAGAAAAAGCAAAAATGATAAAAAAAAAAATTCGAAAACTTTTGTGAAATTGTGGTAGGCAAATTCACAGAAAGTACTAACTATAAAAGAAAAGGGTGATGATTAGACTGTCAAAATTAAAATACTTGCTCTTTGATAAATACCACTGATAAACAAAAGGAAACTGCAAGTCAAAAATTCAAGCAAAATGTTAGTAACATCTGACTAAAGAGTTGTATGCAGTTCCGGGACGCTGTTTAGAGGCATTCAAAATGGCCCAGCGTTTTACATACTGCCGTAGGTTGTCCTACAATACAGCCTCTAACAAAACTAGGCTGTCCCGAACCCCTGGTAATAGAATTGTTTATCTCTATACCAAGAAGGTTGGTAAAGCACCAAAATCTGCATGCGGTATGTGCCTGGGCCGACTTTGAGGGGTCCATGCTGTGAGACCTAAAGTTCTCATGAGGTTGTCCAAGACAAAGAAGCATGTCAGCAGGGCCTATGGTGGGTCCATGTGTGTTAAATGTGTCCGTGACAGGATCAAGCGTGCTTTCCTTTTGAGGAACAGAAAATTGTTGTGAAAGTGTTGAAGGCACAAGCACAGAGTCAGAAAGCAAAATAAAAAATAATGGAGCTTTGTTGAATAATAAAAAAAGGTCAACTGTCAAAAAAGAAAAAAGAGTTGTATCCAGAAAATATAACAATTCTTACAACTCAACAATAAGACAAACAATCCAATAAAAAATGGGAAAGATATTTGACTATCCACTTTACAATACATATACAAATGATCAATATGCACATGAAAAGATGTTTAACATCATTCATTATCAGAGGAATGCAACTTAAAATCATAAGATACCACTAAACACTCACCTTATTGCAAAAATTAAAGAGACTGATGATAGCAAGTATTAGTGAGGATATAGAGCTACAGGAATTCTCATGTACTGCTGCTGGGAATGTAAAGGGTAATTTGGAAGACAGTCTGAGAATTTCTTATAAAGACAAGCATGCACTTATATGACACAGCAATTCTACTCTTAGTTATTTATCCAATGTAGAAACATACACAAATGTTTACACAAAGACTTGTATCAGAATGTTCATTACAGTTTTATTTATAATAGGCAAATAAGCACCTGTCTATCAATAGAGAAATTAAAACGTATTCATATCATAGAACAGTATACAACATTATGAAAGGAACAAATCAGTAATATTTTCAATAACATGGATGAATCTCAAAATCATTATGCTGAACAAATGAAATTAGACCCCAAGTAGTACTTATGGTCTACATGAGGCATTAGGCAAATCTGATGTACAAGACCTCTTTAAAGTGTTCAAGAGCAAAGATGTCAGTCTGAGGACTAAGCTGTGCCTGACCCAAGTCATGGTATTTTCAATATGCATGTAAAAGTTGGACAATGAATAAGGAAGATCATAGAAGAATTGATGACTTTGTGTCATGGTGTTGTAGAAAAATATTGAAAGTACCATGGACTGCCAGAAGAACAAACAAATCTGTCTTGAAAGAAGTAAGCCAGAATGCTCCTTAGAAGCCCGGATGGTGAGAATTTGTCCCTCATACTTCAGACATATTATCAGGAGGGATCAGTCCCTGGAGAAGGACATCATGCTTGGTAAAGTGGAGGGTCAACAAAAAAGAGGAAGACCCCAACGAGATGGACTGGCACAGTGGCAGCAGCAATGGGCTCAAGTGTGACAACAATTGTGAGGATGGCACAGGACCAGGCAGTGTTTTGTTCTGTTGTGCATAGAGTTAGTATGAGTTAGAACCCACTGGATGACACTTAACAACAACAACAACAACAACAACAATCTCATATTACGGAAAGCATGCCAGTGATTGTTTGAAACCATGTGGTAGTAGGGATTGACTACAAGGGGCAATGAGCTGTTTATGTGTGATGGAATTTTATGTCTCGTGATTAGGGTGGTGGTTATACTGGCATATAGCTTCATTAAAACTTATAAAATTGTACACCTAAAATGGATACATTTTATTATATATAAATTATACCTTAATAAATTTGATTTAAAAAGAAAAAATGCAAAGTAACAGTGACCATAAGTTAGAAGGTGAGAGAGAAACAAGGTGGAGAGGAGTAAGAAAGATAACAAATTACTGGCAAAGTTAGAGTGAGAAGATAAAAATAAATGGAAAGAGTACTAGGAAGAACAGAAGTGAAATACCAAGAATGATTTTCAAAGAAGGTAAACCCATTAAGATCTCAATGTGTATGGTAACAATCTAAGATGTTGTGGGTGGAGTATATCCAAGAAAGCAAGAGCCACAGTAAGCCAGATATACAATCCAGAGAACAGGAATTGGGGCAGCTCTCCTGGGGGAAAAGCCAAGCAAAAATAGACAGTGGATATGGTAAGGAGAATAAAGGGTGAGATCAATTCGGTACCTGTAGTTTTTGTTGTTGTTAAGTGCTGTCAAGTCAGTTCGACTCATTGCAACCCTATATAGGGCTTCTGAAGAGTGATCAGTGAGTTTGAACTACTGATCTTGCTGTTCAAACTGACATTATGGTTGAGTGCTTATCCTACAGCACCACACTGGAGGAACCAATATTATCTGTCCTCAAAAGCCCAAATCAAATCCATTACCAGCAAGTTGATTCAGCCTGATAGAGACCCTACTGTATAGAGCAGAACTGCTCCATTGGGTTTCCAAGGCTATTCAGGGTCGCTATGGGTTGGAATTGACTCGATGGCACTTAACAACAACAACAACAACAACCATCTTTACAGAGGACTCCTGGCACTGTGGGTTAATGCTCTGGACTGCAAGGTCAGTTTGAACTTCAAGGTTGGCAGTTCAAGCTCACTAGCCTCTCCTCAGAAACCCTAAACAGGGTTGCTATGTGTCGGAAATGACTCGATGGCACTTAACAACAACAATCCTTATAGAAGCAGACTTGCTACATTTTTCTCCAGTAGAGATTCAAACTTGTGGATTCAAACTGCTGACATTTTGGTTAGGAGCTGAGTGGTAAACCATTGTATCACTAAGTTTCCTTACCTATCCTCAAGCAGTTTCTGAAGCTAAGAACTTTCAGAAAACATTTTCAGAAGGAATTGACTTCTTTAAAAACAAAATAAAACAAAAATTTTACTTCTATGTCCCCCATCTGCCTGAGTCATACTCACTCACCTGAACAGCTTTGATGTAGGGTTTCAGTCTCCAATGTCCATGGTTCTTCTCCTTGCTCCAACTTGAAGATGACCTCAGGTTTGGGAACTTGATACCCTGTTTGCAGGAAATGATACAGAATTGGGTCTAGCTAAATGTTTTCCATGTGCTCTTTAGAAAAGCAACCACATTTCACTGGGAACAGAGAAACAACCACAGAGCTAAAAATGGACTAAAATATCTTAGACAAATCAAGGACACTTCAGATATCACGCATTTCAGATATCCTACAGCACTCAGCAGCTAAAAATGGAACAACCCTTGAAGATTCATAGGATGGCTGTACTTACCCACTGAGAGCAGGTGGCTGTAGTTCTCCAGCGTCACATCCCGGTACAGGCGTCTCTGAGCAGAGTCCAAGTGCTGCCACTCCTCTCTGCTGAATTCCACAGTCACATCCTCAAATGACACTGATACCTATAACAACATAATCTTGCTCAAGGTGACATGGTTAGCACTGGGGATGGGGAGAAGAGAAACAAGAAGTTGTTTTAATAATGCTTCTCATAATATGCATATTTGTTGTTGTTGTTAAGTGCCCGTTGAGTCAGTTCCTACTCGTAGCGACCCTGTATAGGGTTTCCTAGGAGCAGCTGGAGAGCTTGAACCTTGCAGTTCAAACGACTTTGCAGTCTGGCGCATTGACCCACAGCGCTACACCAGGCCTCCAATAGTATGCCTATTAAAAACCAAGTTAGACATAATATTGTATAGGACACAATACCTTACTGAAATTTTCTGCTATTTATGGCACCACACCAGCACTCTGTATAATACTTAGTCATTTAGTTTTTTAAAATAATAATTTTACATGAGATTTTGTCTTGATCCTACTTTGTTGTTCATTTTTATGAGAAATTCATTTCCCAGAACTTTTGGAAAATGCGTTAACCACTGTGGATATGTGTTGTTATGGGTTGAATTGTGTTCTTCCAAAATACAAGTTGGAATCCTGTGGATGTAACCCTGGTTGGAAACAGGGTCCTGTTTGTTATATTATTGAAAATCTATGATTGTAGGCCCTGGTGTGACACTGTAGGATAAGCACTGGACTGCTAATTGCAAGGTCAGTAAGGTCGACTGCTGTTCACAACGCTGGCAATTCAAATCCACCAGCCGCTCTGGAAACCCTACTACACAGCAGGGGGTGCCTTAAACGCAATTAACTTCTGAGTTATAAAAAGAGCAGATGAGACACAAACAAGTACACAAACTAGAGAAGCCAGATGCCATATGAGGGGCATCAAGTAACCAAGGAATGCCCAGAGCTACTGATAAAAAATAAATGGAGACATTTCTTTTTTACTTGAGACTCTAATTTTAACTTTAACTCCCAGAACTATGAGAAAATAAATTTATGTTCTTTAAAGTCACCCACTAGTGGTATTTCTGTTACCGCAGCACTAGATACTAAGACAAGTGTTTTTACCTATTAAACTTTTAAAGTGGATAAAGCTCCCTCTCCTATTACTTTACTTTTCAAAGTCAAGAATACCAGAAAGATGTTCACCTGTGTTTTATTAGCTTATGCAACAGCATCCGCCTGTGTGGATCATAATAAACTATGGATAAAACTGTGACAACTGGGAATTCAAGAACACTTAATTGGGCTCATGTGGAACCTGAAAATAGACCAAGAGGCAACCGCTGGACCAAAACAATGGTGATACTGTGTGGTTTAAAATCAGGAAAAGTGCTGCATATCAGGGTTGTATCCTTTCACCATACTTATTCAGTCTGTATGCTGAGCAAATAATCTTAGAAACTGGACTATGTGAAAAAGAACACAGCATCAGGATTGGAGGAAGACTCACTAACAAACAACCTGCAGTATGCAGATGACACAACCTTGTTTGTTGAAAGCAAAGGGGGCTTGAAGCACTTAGAGATAAAGACCTTTAGTATGGATTGCACCTCAATATAAAAAAAGAACAACTGGACCAATAATGAACATAATAAATGGAGAAAATATTGAAGTTGTTAAGGAACCCATTTTAGTGAATTCACAAACAATGCCCAGGGAAGCAGCAACTAAGAAATCAAATGCAAAAGCTGGACCAAAGAAGAACTGATGCCTTTGAATTATGATATTGGCAAAGAATACTGAACAAATCTGTCTTGGAAGAAGTACAGCTAGAATGTTTTTTTAGAAGCAAGTATGATGAGACTTCATCTCCAGTCCCTGAAGAAGGACATCATGCTTGGTAAATCAGAGGGTCAGGGAAAAAGAGGAAGACCCTCAATGAGATGGATTGATACATGGCTGCAGCTATGGTCTCATAATGATTATCAGGATAATGCAAGATCAGGCAGTGTTTCATTCTGTTGTATCTAGGGTTGCTATGAGTTGAAACTTACTCAAAAACATACAACAACAATGTTAAGACTTAATATAAAGCTACAGTAATTTGGATCTTGTAGTATTGGTATAAGGGCAGACATAAACAGAGAATCCCAAAACAATCTGACACATACATAAACATGATTTTGATAATGGTGCCAATGCAATTCAATGGTAGCAAAGAAAATCTTTCAGAAAATTGTACTGAAATAACTGTGTATCAGTATTGAGGGAAAACACACTGAACCATACTTTACACCATGTACAAAAATTACCTTGAGTTTTAGTAGAATTGAATTGGTTCTATCATACCAGTCCTCCTACAAAAAACAACTATCTGAAAATAATGGAAAAGCAACAATGACAGGCACATACTGGCGGGGAGTTGACACTGGGAAGAAGGGAAAAGGTCAGGTGGACCTATTGCCCATTACAAAAAAAATTTTTGGTCCATAGTTATGGGTTTCTCCTGTAATGGAACCCATGGCATATGCAAATATTATGTCTGGCTATCTGTGAATCACTCTGTGGAAATCAAGGCCTACTATTGCCAAGAGTAATAAGGTTTTTTCTCTCTGACCCATGAATCTTGCGTCTTCTGCCAGCATTAAACGTGTTAGTTTGCAAGTGCGATAAAGTCCCAGACCCTTCACAGTTTTTGGAAGTTTTGGTAATTAATATGACCTGTTCATATTTCCTTTCTGGAAAATGAAAGATGAAGACCTCACAGATCTTTGGTAGGCAGAATAATGGCTTTCAAAGATGTCCATATCCTAGAACCTGTGAATCTGCTATGTTACACAGCAAAGGGGAATTAAGGTTGCAGCTGGAATTAAGGTTGCTAATCAGCTAACCTTTAAAATGAGATTATCCTGTATTCTTTAGGTGGAGGTAAATGGTAAATGTAATCACAAGGGTCTCTAAAAGTGGAAAAGAGGCAGAAGAGATCAGAGTGATGTGGATGTGATATGAGAAGAACTCCACCCGCTATTGCTGGATTTAAAAGAAGAGGGCTATGACTCAAGGAATATGGGCAGGCTCGCTCGCTCTCTCGCGCTCTCGCTCTCTCTCTCTCTCTCTCTCTCTCTCTCTCAGAACCAACTCCATGGCACATAACCATCACCATGTGCATCAAAAGATTTCACCAAAAGAATAAAAAGGGAACCCACAGACTTGGGAACATTTGCAGACATTATTGGACAAGGAACTAATCTCTAAAATTTATAGAAACCTGGTGTGGTGCTATGGGCTAATGTGTCAGACTGCAAAGTCGTCTGAACTGCAAGGTCGGTGGTTCAAGCTCACCAGCTGCTCCTTGGAAACCCTATACAGGGTCACTATGGGTTGGAATTGACTCGACGGCACTTAAAAATAACAACACCTCTACAAGAAAAAGAAAAATAATTCAGGTAGCCAACAAACATGAAGAAATGTTCATGATCATTAGCCATTAGAGAGATGTAAATCAAAACAACAATGAGAAATTACCTCACACCAGCATTAATAGAAAAGTTTAAAAAAAAAACAGAAAACAAATGCTGGTGAGGGTGTGGAGAGACTGGGACCCTCCTACATTGCTGGTGGGACTGTAAAATGGTTCAACCCCTCTGGAAAACTGTGTGGAAAACTGTGCTTGCTCAGAAAGCTGGAAATAGAAATATCATATGACCCAGCATTCCCTCTACTTGGTATATATCCAGAAGAAATAAGAGCCAGGACACGAGTAGATATATGCACATCAATGTTCATCACAGCACTATTCACAATAGCAAAAAGATGAAGACAGTCTAAGTGCCCATCAATGGAAACATAAATAGATAAACTTTTCTCCATACACACAATGGAATACTATGTGACTTAGAATAACAATGCATTCATATGCGAAACACCTCATAACATGGTGAGCATGGAGGACACTATGCTTAGTGAAATAATTCAAACACAAAAGTACAAATATTGTACAAACCCACTATTGTAAAAACTCAAAAGGTTTTCACATACTAAAAGAAACATTCTTTGATGGTTACCAGAGTTGGCAGGGGAGGAGAATAATTCACTGATTAGTGGGTTACCTCGTCAACTCAGGTAATGGGGATGACAATATACGAGAAGAGGGAGGGTGGCAGAAGAATGATGAAGATAGGTGAAGACACAGGGAAGTATGCATGGTCAAAGGGATACAGGTAAATAGTGATATATACAGAACCTTGGAACAACAGTGTTCTGTGCATAGATTCATAGAGACAAAGGCTGAATGTATATGTATGTATATATGTATGTGTATATATATCTATATACACATATACATACAAATATATATTTACATATCCTACAAACAGGTAAGAGTTTGAAAGAGGATATGTGTACACAGGGGATGAAGTGAGACAACTGTTGATACACAGAAGGAACTGCAATCATTGAGATGAAACAAAGCATAAGATTTGTTGAATGTTACACCTATGGATACAGTAGCTCAAAAGAGGGAACAAATCCTTACAGCAAGGATCATTCCCACCCCCTCCATACATAGAATAGACAGGGATGGGCAACTTGGACATTGGCTACCCAAAATGGGGGGGCTACAAAGGCAAGAAGTGACTGGCTTACAAGCTTTCA